ATTTGCCTGGCTTGCTGGTCCCTAACTCTAGATGCCAAGCTGGGATGTATCAACGATACTCTGGTTCGAAGCGCACGCCCAATAAAGAGCTCTGATGGAGTCTTTCCCGTTGTCACATGCGGGGTGCTTCGATATGCCAGAAGAACTTTTGATAAGGTGTCTTGAATGGTATCCCCAATTTTCCTTTTATTTTTATCCAGGGCAGTCTTAATTGTTCTAACCGCTCTTTCAGCCAAGCCATTACTTTGCGGGTGGTACGCCGGGATCAATGTTTGTTTAATTCCATTTCCTTCCAGAAAACCTTTCATTTCACTACCAGTAAACTGAGGTCCATTATCAGATACAAGTTCCTCCGGTAGACCATAGGAAGAAAAAAGTCGCCGTAGTTGCTCAATGGTTTTGCGTGTGGTGGTCTCTCTCATTGGGATGGCTTCGATCCACTTTGAATGACTATCTACTACTATTAATAAATTAATGTTTTCCTTATTTGCAAAATCAATGTGAATTCTTTGCCAAGGTCTGGTTGACCATTTCCAGGGTTGCCATTTTCCTTTATTTGGCCCATCCTGGGATTGCTGACAGCTTCTGCACTTATTTACCAAAAACTCGATTTGGGTATCTAGATTTGGCCACCAAAAATGTGATCTTGCTACAGCCTTCATTTTGTTCATACCGGAATGAGTCTCATGAAGACAGTTCAACATTTTTATTCTGAGAGATGGTGGAATGACAACTCTCATTCCCCAAACCAAACACTCCCCATCTACAGTTAGCTCAAGTTTCCTTTGAAAATAAGGTCTGAGGTGATCAGCCACCTTTTCAGGCCAGCCTTGCTGAGTATAAAATTTGGCCAATGAGAGCACTTCGTCTTTTTCAGTTTCCGTGGCAATTTCCTCTGCCGTGATCGGCAATTCTTCCACATAGGATAAAGCATAGACATTATTTAATCTTGGAATTTCTTCACAGCCCACAGGAAAACGTGACAGAAGATCTGCATTCCCATGGTCTTGAGTTCTTCGAAATTTAATATCGTAAGTATAAGCTGACAAAATAAGCGCCCAACGCTGCAATCTTGAAGTAGATAAGGTGGGGATTCCTGATCTTGAGCCCAAAATGGTCACCAATGGCTTATGGTCTGTAATAAGAATAAATTTTCTTCCATAAATAAATTGATGAAATTTGGTAACTCCATAAATAATGGCTAGAGCCTCCTTCTCAATCTGAGAATAATTTTGTTCTGCTACCGATAAAGTCCGTGAGGCAAACATAATCGGTCTCTCCTGGCCTTCTATAATATGTGACAACACAGCGCCCACTCCAATCTGCGATGCATCAGTGGCCAAACACAATGGCAAAGTCGCATCATAAGGGACTAGCACCCTCTCCGAGGTAATGCTATTCTTGCACTTGTCAATGGCCTCTCCACATTCCTTTGTCCAAACCCAAGGACGTTTTTTGTGAAGAAGCTCATGAAGAGGCTTCAAAAGCTCTGGCAAATTGGGTATGAACTTCCCATAAAAGTTTACCAAACCAAGAAATGACCTTAATTCAGAGATATTCGTAGGCGTTTTGGCCTTCTGTATTGCTTGTACCTTATGATCTAAAGGTCTGATGCCCTCTTCCGTGACAAGATGTCCTAAATATTCAATTTCTTTTTGCAAAAATAGGCATTTTTCTTTCTTTAGTTTGATATTATACTTCGCCAAGCGAGCAAATATAGTCTTCAACAACGCCAGATGTTCTTCAATTGATGCTGTGGCTATAAGGACATCATCAATATAACAAATTACGCCTCCTATACCTGACAAAACCCTATCCATTACAGATTGAAAATAACTGGGCGCATTTGCCAATCCAAATGGCATTCTCTTAAACCTGAAAAGCCCTTTATGAGTATTTATCGTTAGTAACGGTCGGGTGCCTGGGTCCACCTCTAATTGCAGATAAGCGTTCCTCAAGTCCAATTTAGAAAAGTATTTTCCCTTGGCCAATGTGGAGAATAAATCTTGCTGTGTGGGAAGGGGATAGGCCGCAGTGTCCAAATATTTATTTAGAGTTACCTTGAAGTCGCAGCAAATTCTGATCTCTTTATTTTTCTTCGGCACTACAACCACTGGAGTGGCCCATTTACTGCTCGCCACCTCACATAGATAACCCTTAGCCACCATTTTGTCTAATGCTTCAGTAACTGCTGGCCTAATGGCGAAAGGCACCGGACGAGCCTTATGGAAAATTGGATTCACATCACACATGTTTACTGAAAATGTGAAACCTTTTATTGGTTCAGTTGTCTCCACAAATAGGGCTTGATTTTCCTTCAAAATTTCCTCAATGGTAATTTCCACAGGCATATGTTTTACCGCGAAACAGCCCAATTTCAATCTATTTATCCATTCTCTTCCCATCAAAGCCCTCTTTTCTCCTTTCACCACCAACGCTCTAAGTTTGTAAGTAATATCTTGACACTCCACTTTGACATTGATTTTACCTAGAATGGGTACCACGGTACCATCATAAGTTCTTACAATAATACTCGCTTTTTCCAATTTCAAGTGTTGAAGACTATTTTTAAAATCCTTTTCTGATATCAGTGTTAGACCACTACCCGTATCCATTTCAAATTTAATAAAGTTTCCTTCTACTTTTAACTCCATCAGATAGGGAGGGTCACTTGAGGCAAAATTAATTTTATACTCAGGTATCGTCACGCTTATAATTTTCTGGACATACTCTTCCTCCTCTTCTTGGTCTCCTATCTGATGTATATTTCCCGGCTGATTCTGATGTTGCCTTAGATTTCTTCTACTGCTCCAACATATTGAGGCAATGTGTCCTTTTTTATTACACTTAAAGCATATCGCCTCCTTAAATCTACATAGTTCTTTATGCTGTTTACCACAATGTTTACATTTGCCATTCTGGAAATTTGATTCAACCTTGCGTTCCATCCTCAACTTATCTACACAATCTTCACCCTGCTCCAAGTGAAATAATTTTGTATTTTTCTCGGCCGCTTCCATAGATAATGCTATCTCAATTACTTTAGCTAAAGAAATGTCGCCCTCCGACAAAATTCTATTTTGTATTTTGGCATTATATAATCCACAAACCATTTTATCACGTAAAGAATCCTCCAGAAAATTTCCAAAGTTGCATGAGGAAGCCAAACGCTTAATTTCCACCAAGTAATCCGAGATGCTTTCTTCCTTTAATTGCATTCTTTTAAAAAAAATGAACCTCTCTACTACAATTGAGCGCTTTGGAGAGAAGTGCCTTTTCAAGATATCTATTAGGTTATCAAAAGTTTTATCTTTAGGTAGAATAGGACTGCACAAATTCTTCAAAACACTATATGTTTTACTTCCCATGAGGGTTAGGAGATAAGCCTTTTTCTTCTCATCCCCTGCCTCCTCCAATATGAGAAACTGTTCCAATCGTTCATAAAACGTTTCAAAAGTTTCAGTTTCCTCATTATATTCCTTAAATTGGTAACTAGCCATTTTTTTTTTACACTCTTTCTTAAATTTGCATCCTAAAACTTTGCAATTTGTGCCTTTAAAATTTACTTTCAATTATATGCAAAATCAAAGATATTTTCTAAAAATATTTACTTCAAAATTCGAGGGTACTTACTCTTATATCCTCGTCGCCAAATGCAACATCTTCGTACACATTTATTTTTAGCAAATCTTTATTGTCTTAGTAAAGTCTGATACAGCCTTTTATTGTTTATTTTCGGAACGCCAAAAAGTGACAAAAAACAAATCAAAAAGGGATGATGATAACCTGCGTCTTGCAGATTAACATTTTCATAGAAACATATATATATACATATTTATTGTATTTATACATATTTATCTTCAACTTTATTCCATTGAACCAGACTTCCAGCTTCTACTTATTTCCATTGTGACAGCAGGATGATTCTAGATGGATATGGGCTTGGAACCCTATGCCTGGTCCTAAGTGAACCCCAATTACATTCATTACTGGTCGAATAATTTTCCAAGTGTCTCAAAATTATCCACCTTCCTCTTCCTAGAAAGAAGATTGCCTGATACTTATCCCTTAAGCTTTTAGAATAGCCACAAATCAACTATATAGGTACAGGCCCATTACACTTTTAAACAACCTGGTAAAAATACTTTAAAAGAGGAATTTTGGCCAGTCTTCAAAGGCTGGCAGATCGACACGCCTGACAGCCAATTCGGTCCTGCACATAGGCGTTCTGCAGAATATACTCTGACCAAAAATTACAAAATTTATTGACAGCAACCAGTCACACTGAACAAGAGACTGAATACAGTACCACACTAATATTGACAAAGCTGTTTATGGACACAGGCACACGCGCTTAGCCTTCCATTGGAGTTTTGCTTAGAACCAACAACCTAGTAATTATTGTCTAGTCCTGGTTTGTGAAGCGGGCAAGTATAAGCAAGTATGCAAAAAAGAGGAGTTGAGTATCAGTCTATGTAATTATGACAAGGCAATCTCCCTATTATCTAATACTAGCTGAATGACCCGCCCAGCAATACAGCAATATTGTCATAATCATTTTCTGACTAAAAAAAACCAACTATTTTTGCCCAGAACCTGTCAATTTCAATTTTTCTTGGATAAAAATGCGACAAATATCTCTTCCATATTTTTTTCTATGTCCTGTTAAAACACGTTTTACATGTACATTAGGTCAGCTGATATTACCTCCCATCTTCACCGCTAGAGGCGCTGCTTGCGAGCGAAAGAGCAAATTTGCAGCTCAAATTTGCAAATAACTCGAAGAATATTCGGGATAGAGACTTGAAATATTCAATATAAGTTTTTCCAGATTCTACTATACATACTGCTAAAATTTCAGTCATATTAGTTACGTATTTGTATTTTACGTAAAAGCATTCCATTCACAAAAGCAAACGATGACAGAATTGATGACTCTGATACTTGTATATTTTAATAATAATAATATAAATGAGTTTTAAAAATTGTAAAAAAAAAAATGCATCTGCCGGGAATCGAACCCGGCCCGCGTGGCAGGCGAGCATTCTCGCCACTGAACCACCGACGCTTATAAGAAATGGCCATATTTGGGTATTTATTCCATTCACAAAAGCAAATGGTGACTGAATTGATGATTGTTGATGACTCTTATAACTGTTTTTATTCATAAAAATCGCAAGGCGAGGAGAAAAGTTCCATTAATTTATAAATCGTTGCACTAGCTTTTTGGCTAAGAGCACAATATATCAAACAAGTATAAGTGATGAGAATTTTTATATATTCATACTGATGAAAAATTTTGCATAATACATTTAAAATTTTTCTATTATATCTTACAAATAAAAATATTATACACAGAGTATATGCATGATATGAAAAATGATAAGTTATAAAATTTATTTATATTGTCACACACACAGAATAATCTGTGGTGGTTTACTCTGTGAATCATCATCAATGTTGTGCCATCATTGTGCTAAGTAAGCAATTTATTTTAAAATATAATAACATATTATTTTTGTAGTTTGTATATATATATCGGTTGTTCGCTCCAGGAGCCTTGGTTACCTTTATGTTACTACTACTACTCTCGGTTGTTTTGAGACATCTGGTGAAATTTGTAAATACTTTTCTTTTTAAAAAATATATTTTATGACTTCCCGCTCTGGTTTTGTTTACAATATAGCAATGTATGAGTCTACAGTCTAGGAAGACATAACAATATGCTGTAGAAGGTGGGAACACCAGCAAAAAGAGAAAAATAAATATTATACATGAAGAGCTGCATGAAGGGATCAGGATAGAAATTCAGCATAAATTTTCAACAAAATTATATTTTTCTATTAATGCTATGTAGTGTATTAGACACTATTGATTCCAACGCCAATCTTTTTTTTAATTATATGTATGGCATGTACTACTCTGATCAAAAAGTTTCGACACTTTGCTCATAAGTTAAAAAAAAAAAACTTTAGTTTTCTACCAAATTCAAATTGTCTCCTTCAAAGTAGTCCCCGTTGGTCGCGATGCACTTCAGCCACCTTTTTTTCCAGTCGGCAAAACACCTCTGGTAATCTGTTTTTGGGATCGCCTTCATGGCCTTCTTCGATTCCACTTTGATCTCTTCTATGCTCTGAAATTTCCGACCCTTTAACTTTTTTTTTTGAGCTTTCCAAAAAGGGAGAAGTCACAGGGGGCCAAATCGGGACTGTAGGGGGGTTGGGGGAACACAGAGGTTGAGTGGTCCTGCAGGAACTTCGAGATTTTGAGGGCTGTGTGCGCCGGCGCGTTATCGTGGTGGAGGATCCACGACTTGCTCCTCCACAGCTCCGGCCGTTTCTGCCTGATCGCTTCCCTCAATCGCCTCAAAACTCCCAGGTAGGAGTCAACAGTTATTGTGGAGCCTTGTTGTTGAAATTCATGATGAACGATGCCCTGGTAGTCGAAGAACACCGTCAACATGACCTTGACTTTGCTGGGAGCCTTCCTCGCTTTCTTTGGTCTCGGCTCATTTTTGAAGCGCCACTCCGATGCCTGTTGGGTAGTTTCCGAATAAAAGCCGTAAATCCATGTTTCGTCTCCAGTAATGACCCGCTTCAGCAATTCGGGGTCGTCGGTTGTCGCTTCGAGATTGAGACTGGTCGTTTCTTTCCGGGCGTTCTTTTGATCAAAAGTCAAATCTTTGGGAACGAGAACGGCGTTGAGACTTCTCACTCCCAAAATGTCCTTCATTATCGATTGAGTCGACCCGAATGATATCACTGCTTCTTCGGCGACCTCCCTGACAGTTATTCGTCGGTCTTCACGCATCAGTTCCAACACCTTGTCCACTTTTTCAGGCGTGGTTGATGTGGACGGTCTCCCGGAACGCTCGTTGTCGGCAGTCTCTTCCCGACCCTCCTTGAAGCGCCTGTACCACTCGAAAACTCGTCTTCGGCTCATGACGGCATCCCCGTAGGCTGTTTACAACATCCAAAAAATTTCGGCACCCTTGAATCCGTTTTTCACACAGAACTTGATGCAAATTCGTTGATCCTCCATTTCGGTGACTAACAAAATCAAAGCACGGGCAAAATGGCTTCACTTCGAACAGCCGCTGCTCGCGCTGTTGTAGCGCGTGATTTTTTGAAAATTGGCAGGTCTCCAATGTTGAAAAAATATATGAATTCAATTTTAGACTTTGATATTTTATAAAATAATCTATATATATAAAATTGAATGTCTGTCTGTCTGTCTGTACTCTATAGATTCAAAACCATACATCCAATCGCCGTGAAAATTTGGGATATTATTAGGTAAATCCCCGGGAAGGTTTTTGAAAAATAATATCTTGAATATCCTTAGAGTTATTTGCAGATTTGTAGATTCAACTCGCAAGCAGCGCCACCATTGCGACGATGATAACAAGTTTTTTTATCTATAAGTTTTATTATCACTAAGTTTATTATCTTAAAGATTATTTATCAAAAGTAAGATTATCTCAGGATGACACGGCAATTTATTTGAGACAAGAATAATGATACAATTCCAAGGCGAAGATACTATTCCTTTAACTTCCAATTACCGAGGGAACCAATTAATATTGATTTTATTCAACTTATCGAGTATTTTTCAAGGGACCGGGAAAAAATGTTCACTAGATAAAACGATGATTTTGTAATGTAGAAAATTAGGAAAGACAAAATTCAGGATGACACGGCACACAGGGACCGGGAAAAAATGTTCACTTTATCGAGAGATTCAAATTTACGAGTTTCAAATAATCAAATTATATCTTTTTTTTAAATAAGTTTATAGAGAATTGTTTTAACAAATGTTCGTTAGACAAACTTTTACTCGGGTAGAACCCCGGGCGATGCCGGGTACATCCGCTAGTTAATTAATAATTATTTATTTTAAAATGTTTTAAAATATATATTTTGTCACACTGCTGTAAAATTGAGAATGTAAATAACTCTAAGGTATAAGTTAGACCTTTTGTTTTGTTCTTTTAATTTTTAATAAACTTTTTTCAATTACTAAAATCGTATGTATTAGTTTCTAAAATAAAATAAAACCGAAAATCCAAGTCAAGGGCGACGCTTGCGTTTGTCAAAAACCGGGAGAAAATATATTGAGTTTTCAGGATTTTATGAGCAAAGTGTCGAAACTTTTTGATCAGAGTATGTATATAGCAGAAATATGTTAGAATATTAGTGACTGGAAATCAGTGTTTTTAAATATTTCTATGATATTCTGATTTACTAACTCCAACATTCTCACCTCACCTCCACACTATCTCCACAATGCTAGCATAATTTGTTAAGTGGGAAAGATGGATATTGGTTTTAGTTAATGTGTGTCTAATATGATTGGGGAGGTTACATATAGCTGTATAGCTAAAGTTGGTTGACACCATACCTTTTTAGAGATTTTGTTTTGTTAACTGTTTGGGGTGAAATATGGATGATGCAATTGGATATGTAGACTGTAAGGATTAGAGGAGGTCAGAGTGTATAGGTGTGTCTGTTTTTTGGTGTATTGTACCTGTAGTAGAGTGTATTGCTTTAAAGCTTGTACAACCGTTTATAAATTAAAGAAACTCTTCTTCTCACCTTGCGATTTTTATCTATTAGTCCATGTTATGTGTGTAAACCTTTGATTTTATTCTAAAGTCTTTATTTTAGGGTTGTGTGTGTAATATTCTCTTTCTTTTTTCTCTTGCGCGCGATTTTTGAAAGCATTGTATTTATACTCTGTTCACATGTCTTAATGGCTCTCTTTCTTTTGTGATCGCTCCACTAAAGATATATTTGAATATGTTTCGTGTTATGAGTAATAATTTTCTTTATTTGGTGACTTAAGATGTATTTCCCATTTGACCAGCGTTGTTTTTACCTTTTAATATTTGTTCAAGTTTTCGAAAATGATTCCAACATCATAGGTAATGAATGAAAATGAAAACTCATTGATATATATATATATATATATATATATATATATATATATATATAACAATAAATAGTTATTTAATTTTATAGTCCAGTTTTGTATTAAGATTATCTTCACTATTATGATCATTTAAATACAAATTATAAAATTTGTAAAATGTTATTAATTTGTAGATAGAGAGAGAAAAAAAAAAATTCTTTACTTCTATTACATCCTCAAGTTAATTATATATTTATAATTAATAACAATAAAAAAAATTAACAAAGTAACGTCTATTACATCGGCTTTTACACGTCATTCAGACATACTCTAATCCTATATATAGAATAATCGAAGAGATAATATATATAATAGTTAGAAAAAAGAGAGAAAGACAGAACCATGCACTTTTAATCAAACTAATAATAAGGAAAAAAAAAAAAAAAAGAGTTTTATAAAGAAGGTAGATAAGATTGTTAGTATATATATATATATTTTTTTATGATTTTATATTTTATCCTTTTTTTTTTTTTTTTTTTAGAAAGATTTTTAAAGGTTTTTTTATTTTATAATATGATTATAAATAGTTGTATTTAGTAATATATCTATAGTATGAATTAACATTTGTTATAAGTTTGGATATTATGTTTTGAAACCCTACACTATATTATTATTTCTACACTATATTAATTCATATGAGCTTGCTCTATGATATATATTTTTATATATAACATAATATACAAATTAAATTATATTAGATATTCTAATATAAATAAATCTTCATACAAATTTTAATTATCTTTCATTGTTTGATTATTAAAAATTAAATTATAAAAGTAATTCTAGGAAAAAAAAAATAATTTCAGAACTTTTGTTTTTTTCAGTGTTTTTGTTAGTTTAAAGATGTTTTTTTTATTAGTTATTCTTAAAAATATAACAGATAACAAACAGTAATATCTATATATTTATAGATTAATTATTCAATTTATTACAAATTTTATCACCACAAAAACAATTAAGTAAAATATATTTAAAAAATTTATAAGAATAACAAACTAAAAAAACTAAAAAAAACTACAAACATATTAGTGTTAGCACCTCTTTTATGTTAATTTAAACTCGCTAAGAATTGCCTAAGAAAAAATTGTCAAACTTGTC